CTTTATTTAGATCCTGGTTCCTGCGGTGGAAACACACCGAGTACCAGCCCAAAGTCCCTAGTTCCTGGGTAAAGTTCCTGCGGTGGAAATGGGGCTTTTGTGTTGGCAGCGCAAAACCAGACAAAGTTGACAGTTATTGGATCTAAAATGTATGCCACTCAGTAATACATTTTTGCCACTAAAGGGCGAAATGTGACAACTGTATGCAAATGTCGGAGATAATAAAAAGGCGGCTTAAAATCTGGCGAAAGCCATCCATGAGCATTCCCATTCAGCTAACCAATCACTAAAATTCCCTCTTTTCAAAATAAATAAATAAAGGGTCCAAAAGTTTCTGAAGCAAGAACTTTCCACAAGCCAACACTTGAGGTTGTCAGTCAACCCTCACACAGACTTTGACAGATTGCTGTAAAGTCTGTCCATCTGCGCAAGCTATTTTAGTGCAGTTGGACTGTAACAGTCATTTTCAGTATGCAGTGAGGTGGAGGGCACATTAGCAAAGAGACGCAGACACACACTACATCATTAAGATGCCTCATTGGCATTGCAAAATGACAATACCTGTCTAAATAAGACTAGAAAACCCTAGTCATTTTAGATGGATTGAGACGTTTCATTTAAAAAAAAAAAAGTGCTTCTCATACATAATGCCATCATGGATTGTGTGACCTCACATATGATCTTGTCTTGTTTATGCCTCTTTTGTTTCTTTAATTAGAATTTCAACTCATTTTTTAGCATAGAAATGACTTGCAGAAGGTTTCTATATTCTACATCGTACGTGAACATCCTTCCTTTTTTACTGGTTCTTTTAACATCCAGTAAGAATGCATCACTGTAAACGGCCCTGCTCTGCCTCTTTAACCCGGTGAAGGCAGACATATGAAATAACAGACTTTTTTTTATTTTTTTTTTTAAGATGCCTCATTGGCATTGTGCTTCTCATACATAATGCCATCATGGATTGTGTGACCTCACATATGATCTTGTCTTGTTTATGCCTCTTTTGTTTCTTTAATTAGAATTTCAACTCATTTTTTAGCATAGAAATGACTTGCAGAAGGTTTCTATATTCTACATCGTACGTGAACATCCTTCCTTTTTTACTGGTTCTTTTAACATCCAGTAAGAATGCAGATAATCTGCCACCACATTTCCTCACAGCCTTGATTTTCATCCTCTGCTTCAATTAGATTATTACACATGATATTAATATTTGGATTAAAGGGAATTGCAAAATGGGGCTAATACTTTTAAAAGCACCTTTAGACTTATCA